TACAATATTTCGCAGCGCCCCTGTAAAGAGGCCGCGGCTCCCCGGGGCGCCGCAACGCACAGTTTGGGAACAACTGGCCTAGAACGATATCAGAATGAAAATAAGTTTACTCGCGATTCTAATTAAGCTTAGCGGATCATTTGTATGCACTTATTAAGAGTAATTGCTTATGTTTACTTCTGTCTAAGAAGCTGACATGTGGCCATTTTATTATAGATGCCTTTCATTATATTTTTTTGACATCGTTTTCTCAACTCATTCATATTTAATTAGGGTCATTGGTTGACATGTTATGGCATTTATAACTTTTGTATCAGATATTATTTTTATTTTTGGCAGGAGCTAACTGAATTTACACTTGCAAACGGCAAATAACTCCTTTTTTCGTGGCTTTTTATGGCCTTGCTAAATTGACGAGGTCGGAGATGACTGTTAATGTTTTCCTTTAATAAGCTTACAGAGACATTGCGCCAATTTCCTTTTGAACAAGCCAGTCTAGAAAGCGATGTTGGATTCAGTATTTTTTTCAAAATACTCTATTTTATTATGCCTTTAGATGACGGGGAAATGAAAACAAGGCAGTCAACGTCTCGGGTCTCTCGGATTGTTGGCGACATCGATTTTCATGCCGCTAGTCTCAGGGCCGGCTGGGTCACTCCTGTTCCTGGGGGTGTGGGCCCGCTCACTGTGGCAATGCTATTCTCCAACACTCTTAATTCCGCCCTCTGGCGGCTTGGTCTGTCGCTGTTCTCACCTCTCCTGCATATTGGCTCGATGAAAAGCTAATATAATTAGATGACTTTCCTATTCATCTTTTAAACAAGATTTCCTTATCACACCAATTGACCCTGGAAGATCATTCAATGTAGTATCATAAATCGTCTAACTTTTTCGATTCGTTGCTTTCAACTTTATGCTATACAAGTCTCCTTCAGTTGGTATTCCATGTTCGATTCCTACTAGAAGAGTTGATGTATAGCGAATGGAATTCAATTCTCATTCCTGATAAGAACTTGCGAAATTTTACTTTAATTATTTTACAAAAACCTCTAACAAATTTTTTTTATTATTTATTGTATTCCGTGATAAATTGGTGGTTTTTGCTTGGTGGCTTGCACTTAGGGTTTTCATCATTCACTAATAGCATCCTTATCAGTATTTGGAGATAAATGTACGCCAGTACGCCAGTCTCCCAGTACGCTAAGTCTTCCGCTTACATGTTTTGCTGATCGTAATTTGATCTTAATTATCCAAATCAACTTGGTAAAAGATTATCTCAATTGGAACATGCACTTTATCACACATTCATGAGACTGAATATACACTTCAGTGTAGACTTTCCTAGTTGCGGAATACATCAAAAAGACTGCACATGAGATTAATTGGAAAGTAACAGAAAAAAGGCATCATACGGTAGCGGAAGATTAAAGATGCCATTGATATAGTTTGGGATAAAAATCTAATGAACAGGAGATTGGAGAAAGGTAGAAATAGCGATGACCTTACCTGCTGATTTAACAAACTCAAAAAAAACAAGAATAGAGCAAGACTAGCAAAAATGAGACGCCTGGATCAGGGGTCTATCGCCAACCGTAGAAAAAGGTATCGCGATGAGGAAAGTGGCGAAATAGTGGAACACATTGCACGAACAGGGCACGAAATTGACTTTAAATCGACCAAAAAGTTGGCTTCATGTGGTGAAAATACGAGAAAACGCCACATCCGAGAGACCACTAATATACTGACCGAGAGAAATCTAATGAATGGGAGACTTGAGAAGGCAGGATCAGCGAAAACTTTGCAAATCGCCTTGTCTCTCTCGAGTTGCATTAT